TCTCAATGGAACACAACAACAAGTAGTATCACTTCTTTTCTAGAGATAATCCTTGATTACCGATGATAATTTAAAAAATTAGTATCATAATGTCTTTAAAAATACAGATAATTTAAAGCTTTCTTTTCATCCCAAAGCTTGGCATAACAATTTAGCAAAGCAGGAATTAGGCATTATATCAAACAATTTGTCTGTCACCTATTTTCTTGATTTAGGAGACACAAGAGTGATTATTTCCAGGACAAAAAAAAAAAAAAAAGAAAGAAAGAAAAAGGCTTAAAGGCGGTCAGTTGGAAGGAAAGAAGTAAAAGTAGGCTGGATAATCCATAAACAGGCCGGTCAATCTCTGAATAAATCAAGAGCTGGTTTTGCATTAAGGAATTAGAAGTGTCATTTCCAACTTGTGATTTCTGCAAATCTTGGATTCTACCCAAGCTAGATTTTAAAAGCAGATAAAGTCGGCCAGAATTAAATGGAGGCCTGGGGGACATCACCTATTCTGAATCTCTTCCAAATATCAGTAGCAAAAAAAAAAAAAGATGTTGCTTTGGGTACAGTAACTTTCTGACCTCCTTGCTCCAGTAAAACACTGGCCAGAAAAACTCGTGGAATTATGCTGGAAGAAAAGAAAAACAACCATCCATAAAAGGGGAGAACAAAAGAAAAGAAAGAACATATTTATGTTGCAAAGTTAAACATCACATCAGCTTTTCTGAAATACTTTGGAACCTACAAAAGCAAGCATACAAAATGCATTTTGAAGCTTTTTCACTTAAGTGTAGGTTAATGTGTTCCATGTGCCATTTTGTATTTTGAAAGACTGCCACAAGAAATAAATGAATATTAAAAGTACTTACAAAAACAAATATCTCCCAATTTCTTCATTAAATCTTTAAAAATAAGAAATCCATGTAGTCAGGCAACTTCTAAAAGAAAATGTTTCTTCCCCCCACCCCCAATCATCTCTGCTGCCAGAAACACACCACACTATTTGTCATAAGCACTTTGGTTTCATGAGATAAGCCAAATCTAATCTTGTGAAAATGAGATCGAATAGAGGAAGCTGAAGCTTCAGTATGGAAAAGGCTACGAAGAGCAGGAAACACTTGTCATTCCTATCCTCAGACCCCCAGGAAAATAAATTCTGTTTCAGAGCCCTGTTAATTGTTTTTAAAGTTTCATCAAAAAGCTTCCCTAAATGTCTCATTAATGTTGTTAGGTATTCAAACGGAATGAACTCTAAAAGGTGAGGCGACATATATTAAGCTCAGGAAAGTCCATGAAGACAATGATGAAGTTGCAAATGGCCAATTCACCTTTCAGCAAAGTCAGGCTCAAATGTAGTTTACTGATCCCAAACTAATCATCCCATTTCTCATACAAATAAACTAAGTCTAAGAGATGTCAAGGTGGATGCAGGCAGTGAAGTTGGCGGTAGCAAAGACTGACTCTAACCTCGAAGGGAGACAGTGGATCCAAGCAGTCTTTACCACTGTTATCTTGCAGACAAAACATCAGTGTTCCACCATGTTTTCAAAAAATAGCAGGGTTCCTTGTGGATTATGAAAAAAAATTACTTCCATCAGACCACATTAGCAATTATCAAACGAAGTTTTTATTTATGGCTTTATTTTCAAAAGGAGAAGAAGAAAGAGTTCTAATTGCTGTTTAGGATAGTCCCCCATAAAAAAGTTTGTCCAAAAAGTATCAAAGTTTGGCATTCTATTTTCTCACTCCACTGGCTATATTTTGAAATAAAACATAGAGTTAAATGATATATTTGCTCTCTCTAGTCCAGACTGGATGCAACTGATTTTAACTGACTAAATTATCTGATCTCTGCCAAGAATTTTATTTCATTAAGAAAATGATATTACGGAGCATCTGAGATCATAGAGCAGACTAAACATAATGCCAAAGGAGTTCTGAAAATGCTCCACAGTGAAGGTTTGATTATTTGCAGATGGAATATGAAAAAAATAAAAAAGGAATAAGGTCTCAGGCATTAACCTACCAATCCTGGTACCACTGCTGTCTCCAACCTAGCACAAAGCCAAGAAAATAACTGCTCTTCTAAGCCACAACACTTTCTCTTTTTTAAGGTCCTAATCACTTTCGCTTCCTAGAAAGTAATATTTAACTGCCACTACCCAAAACAAAGAGGAAAAGGGAAATGTTGGTACCACAATGGGCTCTAAGATGTCAACTGTCACTGCTGACGTGATTTGGCGAGTAGTCAAGCATTCACCAAGGAACTAATTTAAATCAACCTCTTTGGGGAAAGCCAGTTGTTCGGTGGGCACAACAATTGGTGTAGGATCAATCAGTGGACATGAGATCAATTAAAACCAGCTTAAGTTTGTGAAGAGGGACAATTCACACAACTTGAGTTAGATCTCTATTCATTTCCACACTCTCACAATGCAATCTTTAAGCTTCCTTGCAAAGCAGAAAAGCTACTATCACCCTACACTGTCTAGCCAGTCCTTTAAGTAGTTCCACTTTTAATTAAAAACACAGTGCACCCTTTGTTGGCACAGATAGTGTGGTCACTTTTAAGGGCCACAGTTATATTAGACAGAAACTCGGGATTTGGAAAGGGACATCTGTTGAGAAAGGAAAAGGGGGGGGGGAATCCAAACCCAAATACTTTGATAATTTTTTTTTTTTACCACCTTACCAATTTGCATGCACTTGAAAGCATTTGAATTTGATTAAAAGGAAAGGTCGGTTTGGCAGAAGTTACTACTGCACACTTCAGAGTTGGGTTTCCAAATGTCAGCACTTGGGGATGTGGATGGCAATTGCTACAACAGACTTTGCTTTAAGCAAGCTTTGAAACAAGGAGATTTTGCCTCAGATACCCAAGCAGGCATATGCAGATCTGTGGAGATGGAAAAGCTGGGAATTGCGTGCAGTATCCCTTCTGGCCGCAGGAGTGCTGTAATGTCATTCTCCAGCAAACAGCATCTCTGCATTGACTTCTACTAACCCTGGGGGCCTGGGATGTCTCCTCCATTCAGCCACACACAGACCACGGCTGGCAGCGTGGAAAAGAAAAATGACCACTGAATTAGCATGCCACCTAATAATCAAGCAAGAGCTTGGCAAAGGATTTTAGGTCACTTTTTCTTTCGTAACTTAAAACACTGCAGCTCTAGCACCAGACTGTAGCCTCTGCTTACCAGAGGGCTAAGGCCTCTTTTTAACCACACTGTAATCAAAAGTTGCGGCTCTGCAGACTGATACCTCAAAAGAACATACTAGTGTGGGGAAGAGAGTTTATTAATAGGAGAAGAGGGGCGAGGAGAGAAAAAGGGTCTTTTCCAGGACAAATACCGGTATCAAACACTCATGACCTCTGGGAAGAAATGTCTTCCTAGTATTTTTATATGAAATAATTTCTGAAAGAAAACAGCATTTTCCAAATGTCAGAAAGAGGACAGCGGATGGAAGAGCTCTGTTTTATTAACTCTAGATCCACGTTGTTGTCAACTGGAAAACAGAGGTTATTACAAGAAATCGCACATCACCAGACAGCTTAAGCTTTGCCCTTGGGCCATCAACCATGAGCCCTGGCTACAGGTGAGAAGAACTTAAGGACATCTTAAAACACCATCAAGATAGAAAGCTGTGACAGGCCTTCTCCAAAATCTGAATGCAAGACCAGAGACTCCATAAAGGGAGCTTTAAACGAATCATCTCACAGGTCAAGGGGGACGTTCCTATCCCAGGAAAATGGAGATGAATTGAACCCGCAAACATACTCCAAGCGCGCAAAAAGCCCAAGGACTGGAGAGCGCTCACCAGACTTGCCAGGGGTGGCGGCTGCGCACCTTACATGCACAAGTAATGCAAGAGTGTGTGGGTGTCTCGGGTTTATGCTTAAATCTTCCAGATTTAGTTATGTCTAGCAGTCCTTCTAAAATGCGGCTGGATTAGATGCAGCTCCCGCAAAACTCGAAAAGGGGGGGGGGGGGGGAGGCGCACAAGAAATCTGCAGAAAAGCTAGCTCTCTGAAATCTTTCTGGAGGTTTCCATTCCTCTTCCTGCATGTAACTGATGGAAGAGAAGGCGGCTGAAAAGCCTCAAGTGAATTTAATTGGCAACTGAAACCACTCTCACCGAGAAATAGGTGCTTTGAAGAAGCAAATGGAAGGTACAGCGGCGGACCATCTCTAAACACCACTTTTCATGGGAACGCTTCCCAGAAAACGAGCGCGCGAGTTGCCACTCAAATGGTAAAAGTTCAATATCCTACATCATCCCATCTAGTCTCAGGTCTTTAGGGAACAATGTGGCCCTGTCCTTGGAAATGCAGGTCCTCTGCCTTGTGGGGGGCTCTGGTGACCCAGCGCTCTAGGGCGCTGTCAACCCAAAGAATAACAGTTCAAATCCGCCAACCGTTCTGGCAGAGAAAGATGAGCCCACACCCCGTGCGATTTACTGCCTGTAGAGGGTCGCCGAGGAGCCGGTCCTGACTCCACGGCACACAACTACTACAACCCTAATTACCATCCCCGACACACATGCACGTGCGCTTGGCAGAAGCCAGGTCCTTGACAGCCTAGGCTACGATTTAGGGCGCAACGTGGTTGGGGGAGGGAGGGAGAAACAGACTTGCTGCAGGGAACACATGTAAGAAAACCAAAATTAACAAAAGAATAAAAAGAGTGTGAACTAGGAGAGGGAAAGGAGGGAGGGAGCAGGTAAGAAATGGGACCTAAAGAGAGATGTGTGTGAGAGTGGAGGCGCTTCCGCGAACGTGGGTGTGGACAGGCACGATTCCGCCCCGTGCGGCTGCACCGTCTGCGCGTCACGCTCCTGGTCGCCTGGCCGGCGGGCGGCCACACAACAGGGTTGAGAGCCCGGGTCGGCGGTGCCCCGAGCGAGGGTAGAGGCACGGAGCTGCCAGGCGGAGACCCAGGCAGCTCCCGGCACGTGAGCGCCGCGCCCCTCAGCCCCAGCCCCCACGCACCTCCCGCAAAACTGAGACCCACCTCGCTTGCTGCGTCTCCATCGGTTGCCTTGGCAATGGCTGTAATCCATACAGTTCAGGATGATGAGGGCAAAGGAGAAGAGGCGAAAGTGCATCTGGGCAGTTGGGTCGGGGAGAGACGCCTCTCAAAGTCGGGGAACTGCGGGGCTCTTGCGAGAAGCGGGGCGCTCTGGAGAGTCCGCCGAGAGGCAAGCGCCGTTCGCCCGTGGACCGACCTGGTCAGTGTAGCCGCACCAGCATCTCTCCACAGCGAACCTGCCAGACGAGGGGCGAGACACAAGGTGGGTGGGGGTGGTGGAGAGCGCCCCAAGGAGGCTGCGGCGCCGGGGGTGTCCCAACTCCAAGACGCGGGGGAGCGGGACCGAGTCCACCGCCTGGCACACGCCGCGGAGCCGTTTAACCCGGCGCACAGCTGCTGGCGACTTGGAGAGGAAGGTGATTACAATCAGTGAATTAGCAACCTCTCCAGGGCCAGGGAGCGGACGCGGAAAAGGCTGCCCGCGGGCGCTTCGGCCGGGACACCGAGGGCGCAGGGTGAACGGCGCTCTCCCGGCTCCCACGGTGGGGGTCCCCGAGCGTCGCGGGGTGGCAGGGCGCTTACAGTGCGCACGTACGTCTCCGGCGGCGCGGCGTGCCTAGGCGCTGCGCCGCTAGCTAGCACGTGGGCTGAGGAAAAGTTTGCCGAGACGCGCGGGTAGCGCCAGGCAGCTCCACGATCCTGCCGGCAGCCCCGGGCTGGGCGCGCCTGGAAAGTCTGCAGAGCCGGCGGCGCCGGGGCCGGAGCTGCGCGGAGCCGGGCGGGCGGGTCCGCAGCTACAGGGATGCTGCTTCCCAGCTGGTGAGTCGGATGCCCGCTCGGGACGCGCCCGCTCAGGGTGTCTGCGCCCCTCGCCAATCCTGCCGCCTCCCGTGCTCACCTCACCACTTCACGGCTAACGTCAAGCTTTCTGTCTTTGCACGCTGGGGGAAGACAGCGCTCCCCGGAGGCCGAGGGGCTGTGGCGAGCGCAATTTCCGATGGAGATGCTGGCGGGTTGTGGCTCGGGATGCTTCTATAAGTAGGTGGTGCTGTGGCCCAAAGCATCCAAGTCTGCGCTGCCGCGGAGTTCCTGGGTCCTAAAGCTAGAAACGCTCGGGTTTCCCAGAGGTCCTAAAGAACGCTGAGTGCCTGGAGCGAATTTAACTGCATCTGAATACCCTCTGGGCTTTTCCAGAAGTAGCTGCAGTGACGTGCCGCCTGTCAGTGCTTGACCCCAGAACAACCCAGCTCTCTCTTCATCCCCAGAGCTTCCTCGTGGGCGCTCACGAGTCGCTACCCAACCCCATCGCCACTTTCCTGTTGCGGGATCTGACTGACAGATGGCTTCTCGCAGACCTTCCTTCTCAAGCTACCAGCCAGAAATGCTGCCTCCATCTGACCAGCAGGGTTTAAACTTGAGCCACGTCCAGAGAGATGCCACACCTCGGCCACTTTGTAATTTCTGTCTTGACGCTCTGTTTTATGGGAAAGCTGTTAGGAAAGCTGAGATAAGAGCCTGCTCTCAGTTTAGAGAGTGAAAAGTGGATTCCCAATAGTTTTTGCTTATCCTCAAAGTGCTACTTCTTCACTTGGTTTTACATCCAGGAAAACGTCCCAAAACCAAAAAAGCACATCCTGGTGTCCCTTGCTTGCATTCCTAAAGAAATTGCAACTTTGTTTCCTTAAAGAAAGACCCACTTTCTTTGAAATATTTCTCATTCCTATCCTTCCTCTTCCCAGGTCACACTAAGTCAATTGGAAGTGCCTTCAGTATAAGGAAATACTCTTTTTAATAATATTTAAAGGGGAGTTCTGATGGTCTAGTGGTAAGAAGCTGAGCTGCAGTCTCAAAAGCATGTGGTTCAAATCCACCAGCTGCTCCGAGGGAGATGAGCAATCTCCTCTCAGGCTATTTACTGCCTCTGAAAAACCGCTAGAGCGTCAGGTTTGGATCATTTCCCGTATTAATACGCCATATTACACTGTTTAAATTATCTTTTTAAATAATCATGTTGTTGTTGCTGCTGCTGCTGCTGTCGACCATTGAGTCCGAGTTGAGGCATAGCTGACCCTTTGTCTGGTGACTCTTCAGAGGCAGTTAATCACACAGGAGGACTCAAACCACATTCCTTCAGGATTGCAGCGCAGCTTCTTGCCACTAGGCCACCAGTGTTCCCTATTAAATCATCATAAAAGATCACTGATATCATCATATTACACTATTTAAATTCTCATTTAAATTCTCCTTTCAATGCCTACAGTTTCAGAAGTTGTTCATAAATCACAAGAAGCTGGCAGCTTGCAACAGTTACACAGACTCAGTGTTAGAATGATCATGTTTATTTCTTATCCATACTGTTCTACAAGCTTTGCTATTATATAGTGAGTTTTATGGGCAACAATTTCAGTGCCTTCCCTTTTATGCATGCATGAGAATTCCAAGAGAATCTGAGTCAAACAGTCCCATTTCATAGATAAGAAAATTGAGCCTCAGAGACTGGCCCACCGTGCACAGAGCACATTGCAGAGGAAAAATTTGACCTGTTTCTCTAATTTCTGGATCCTTGCTTTTTATCACAGATTTGGAGTTGATTTTACACTTTTCAGCCTACTGAGTGGACAGGCAACTGCTATGATGACTCCATAGACCAGCTAATACAATCCCCCGCCTTTGGAAGTACAGCCTCCCCCAACAAATGCAAACTAAATTTACTGCACTTACAAAAGAATTCAACCGATGGAAGGGGTGTAAAGGGTATTATTTAAATAAGCCTTCTACTTTCACATAGTTTTGAGATCCATTCAAAGATTTCCAGTGTCCTTTAGGATATTGGAAGAATATCATAAAAATAAATAAGTAAACACACCACAAAGTTAGTTCTTCTCTGTCATTAACCATGTATGATCTATTTTTTTCAGCAGCATTTTCAGGAACTTAAGCAAGGATTCATTTCCCTTTTACCATGTCCTGGGAAGCTCCAGTGGCAAGTGGATAAGGAGAGGTACTACCAACCCAAAGACAGGTTGTTCACAACCACCAGCTGCCCCACGGGAGAAAGATGGGGAGTCTCTCCTTCTGAGGGATTTCTTGTTTCTGAAGACCTGCTGGAACATCAGCTGTGAGTAAGTTCTTACCCAACAGCAGTGAGTAAGCTTAATACCACCCTCCTGGTGTTTTAGTTACAGTCAGTTTTCTGACACAACAACACCTAACAACAACATCACAGAGTTTGCTATCAAAACTAACAAGTAATCAGAACAAACTCATAATTTTCTCTCCATGTAGACATATGGGAGGCTATGTCAGTCAACATTTTCTCTTCAAAATTGACTTTCCAAAGTTGTAGTCATTTGGATTGTGCATTTGACTTTTTTTTTTCTTTTAAACTAGATAGCTTGTTTCCCGTTTAGAGAAACACTAGCCCCACGCTTGGTCCAGTTCATGAAGAAAAATTTTATCACTGCTTATGAGCAAGACAGATTAATACATTTATGTTCTCAAAATTTCATTTTAAGAAAACACAAGTGTGAGTTTGACCTAAATAAGCTCGTTTAGCTTGTTGCGAGGTACTTATGGCAGGCCACTACATTAGATTTCAGAATGAACTACTACAGTGCTGATTCCGTGGTTCAAATCCAGATCTTTACGTCTCCTCCTGAATATGTTGCCCTAGAGTAAAGGCTGTTCTCTGCCACATCTGGGACGCAGAGGAAACCCCTCCCCATAGCTAGCATTCTGGGTTGGATGCAGTGGGCCGGATCCTAGCTGGCTCTTAAGAACATAGTCTTGAGAGGGCCTCCTCTCAGTGTATGGACAGAAATTCGGGTTCGTATGTGATGTTTCCCTTGTTAGCTTCATACAATAAAGCACAAGATGATGGTCTGCTTAGGCAAGGCTGATGTGTTACATTCCTTCCTCCAGGTGAAAAAAAAAAATAGTACACGATTGCATCTTTCTTCAAGATTAGAAATTAAGGAGGTCCTTATTATACACTGAATCTCATGGCAACCATGGAAGAATTTAACTAGGTTCACTGGTGGTGTTGGGCTACTGGAGGAAGGGTCAGTGCCTTGAATCTACCAGTTGCTCTGTGGGAGAAAGTCTCTTCCCATAAAGATTTACAGCGTTGGACACTCAATGAAGGGTTTCTGTCAGTCAGAATCAACTCAGTGGTACTGGGTGTATGTTTTTTATTGCACTAAAAAGGTACAATTTCAGCCTCTTTGGCTCCACAATCAACACTCTTGGAACCAGCAGTCAGGAAATCAAAAGACAAATTGCACTAGAAAAAGCTGCTGTCAGGAACCTCTCCAGAATATTGAGAAGCAACAGTGTCATTCTAGAGACTAAGGTGCGCCTGATCCAGGCCATGATCTTCACAATTACTTGCTATGCATCAGAGAGCTGGACAATGATTAAGGATGACAGAAGAATAGATGCCTTTGAGTTGTGGTGCTGGAGAAGAGTCTTGAGCATACTACTTGGACTGCCAAGAGAACAAACAGATCTGTCTTAAAGAGGGTGAAGCCAACTTTCTCCTTGGAGGCTAGGATTTTTAAGCTCCATCTCACGTACTTCGAGCACATGGCCAGAAGGACATGATGCTTGAAAGGGTTGAGGGGCAACACAGAAGAGGAAGGCCTGGAGATGGATTGACACAGTAACTGGGGCAGTGGGAGTAGGTGTGTCAGAGCCAGTGAAACTGACTTAGGACAGGACAGGCTTCAGAGCTGTTGTACATAGAGTCGCTGTGAGTTGCAGGTGACTCCCTGTCACTTAACAACAGTAAAAAGGTATGTTCTAGAGACATTGTTTACTGTTACTTCACTGTTATCTATCCAAGTCCAGAAATTCTGTTTCTAACTATACCTTACAAGTGTCTTACACATGTAGAGAGTCAGAAAACATGCATGACAATCATATGTGATTAGGCAGCATTATGAGATCATACGTAACTGAGAGCATCTCAGAGTCATATGCAATTTGAGAACATTACAGAGACATAGATGAGAGCTTAATAAGACAAGAATAAACACTGGAAAAATGGAAGAAGCCTCATTTTATCTTGGTTTGGTT